GTATTGTTTTCAGGTACCTGTTATATATATAGCTTTTGAGGACATTTTCCCCAATAAAAAGATATATATTTTTATTTAAGTGTCTTATATTATGCAAAAATTACTCTTCTAAACTTTAAGCCATATTAGTATGTTGTTAATTCCTTAAAAACAAAGCTGAAGTTGTATTTCGTTTCATTTACGCATGTTTGAGTAACAGTGCATTATTAGGTTGTCTACATCTTCCAAGCTCAGAATCCTCTGTTCCACCTTGTGATGTCATGAAGCAGTAGTTTTCAAGTTAACAGCTCCTTTTACCTTTTGTTCAGTAAAGATGGGAAATTCCAGGGCTGAAATAATAATGATTCTCATGAAGGTGTATTTACACTGGGGAGTAAGGCTGGGTATCATTAAGAAATTGCCGATGTGATACATACCTCGATACAGCGCATTTTCGATTCGATACGATATATTTCAAATCGATTCAATGCGGTTCAATAAAAATAAAGGCTAAATCTTGGCTATGATACTAAAAGTCTTTGTTAAACCACTTCTTGTGCAAAGTGAACATGAAACGCAAACATTTAAATCATAATAAAAGTGAAATTGTCAAATGTGTCGCATAAATGAAATCCTTCCGCTAAACAAGCAACAAAACTTGAGCGCTGTAACAAAATAATTTTGTAAAATATACCAAAAATACTCTTGCCGATATATTGATACAGCAGTCCAAGATATCGATACTATATCATCACATTGAGCAATACAATATATCGATATTGTATGTCGATGTGTCTTCCATTTGAGAGAAGTCAGTGTAAATATACAGGGTTTGTGGGGTAAACATGTGTGAATGAAACAAAACACAACTCCAGGTAGGTTTTTGATGAGGACACAACATTATAACATAAACCCAAAAAAAGCTACGACTAATACTGGGCTTTTAAAATTGTTCATCGCTATGGCAACGGTCCTAATAACTCCAGCTATTTTATCTCTTCTAATCCATAAACTATAAAGCAAAGAACCGCACAACTCTTTAATAGACTTTGACAGCCTATAGGTGGAGCGGAGCCAACCGTGGTCCGGGGAGACACAGAATAACGGGGTACATTTTGTGGCACAACACCAGAGGCACTGATAGCATCTTTACTCCTGACACAGACTGATGGATCCCGGAGAGCAGAGGAGAGATAGTAAGCGTCCGGGGACACATTCGTCAGAGAGAGGGGGGAGCTGCCAGCCGGAGTTTGTTGACAAAGTGCTAAACTGTGTGTATTGTTGTGGAATATGTCACAGAGACTCTCCTTCGCTATAGATAAAGACTTTGGGTGTCATGGCAGCGCGCTAGTTTTCCCTAATTCTTTATCCAAGCTGAGAGAAAGAGAGAGAAACTGAGGGAGAAAGAGAAAGAGACGGGGGTGTAAGAGAGACAGACTCAGAGACAGACTCAGAGACACACAGAGCGAAAGAGAGACATAGCGAAAGAGAGAGAAGGAGAGGGAGAGAGAGGGGGGCGGAGAGAGACAGACAGAGAGAGAGAGAGGGCAAGAGAGAAAGAGAAACTGAGAGAGAGACACAAAGAGAGAGATGAGGGTGAGACAGAGATACAGACAGAAAGAGGGAGAGAGAGACTTTGACTTTTAACAATACATTTATTATATCACTTATGACTTAAAATCTTACAAAAAAGAAAGAGAAACAGAGAGAGGGACTGAGAGAGAGGGAGGAGGGAGAGACAGAGATATAGACAGAAAGAAAGAGAGAGGGAGGAGAGATACAGACAGAAAGAGAGAAAGAAAAAGAGACACTGTGAGAGAGGGAGGAGGGAGATACAGAGAGAGAGAGGGAAAGAGAGGGGGAGGGAGAGAGACAGACAGAGAAAGAGGTAAGAGGGAGAGACAGAGAGGTACAGACAGAAAGAGAGAGAGAGACAGAGAGAGAGGGAGGGAGGAGGGAGAGACAGAGAGAGGGCAAGAGAGAAAGAGAAATAGACAGAGAGAGAGAAGGAGACAGAGAGGGGGAGGAGAGAGAGAGACAGAGTGATATAGCCAGAAAGAGAGAGAGAAAGAAAGAGACAGTGAGAGACGGAGGAGGGAGAAACAGAGAGATGCAGACAGAGAGAAAGAAAGAGTCAGAGAGAGGGAGAGACAGAAAGAGAAATAGAGAGACATAGAGAGGGAGAGAAGGAGTCAGGCAGGGGGAGGAGAGAGAGATAGACAGATCCAGCCAGAAAGAGAGAGAGTCAGAGAGAGAGAGAGAGAGACAGAGAAAGAAGCAGAGAGAGAGAGACAAACAGAGAGAGACAGAGAAAGAGAGGGAGACAGAGAGGGGGTGTAGAGAGAGACAGAGATACAGACAAAAAGAGAGAGAAAGAAAGAGAGAGAGGTAGGAAGGAGATACAGAGAGAGAGAGAGAGAGAAAGAGAGGGGGAAGGAGAGAGAGAGAGAGACAGACAGAGAGAGGGCAAGAGAGAAAGAAAAACAGGTAGAGAGAGAGAGAGAGAGAGAGCGGGAGGGAGGAGGGAGAGACAGAGAGATACAGACAGAAAGTGACAGGGAGATAGAGGGGGGAATAGAGAGAGAGACAGAGAGAGAGATGGAGAGAAGGAGACAGAGAGGGGGAGGGGGGAGAAAAAGAGAGATACACAGAGAGAGAGAGAGAGAAAGTGTGCAGTGAGCGAAATGTTGGGCTACTGTGCACTTCACGCCTTGTGAGTTTGTATTAAGGTCAACCAATTTTGGCTGAGATTAAGAAAATACTTGACCTACATATCGCACATTACTCAAGTGAAGATACACATTTCATACAGATTAAGTTTTTTTTTCAACTACATAATACCACGAATAACAACATTAATGGACCACAAACTGATCCTGAACAGTGTAATAACATGACAACTAACAACAACCCTTAATAACAGAAGTACATGTGATAATAGTTAATAGTTTTGTGTTAAAATTAAATATGTGAGAATAATGTTATTGTAAGTTGTTAAAAGGATTTTGTACTTCTACTAATACATTTTCTTAATTAACTAAAATCAAAATTAGAAAATGTACCACAAATTTATTTTAATCTGAGGCATTCAGTTCACTGTTTTTGAAATATGCTTTACATACACCAATGCTTTTCAACTCAAGTCTTCATCAGGGCAAAGTTATTTTAATTGCTTTCCCAAAATTACTTGAATTGACAAAAGTAATTGTCAAATAAGTTATGAGAATGCTAAAAGGCAATCTATTTTTTTTTTTTTTTTTTGTGAACGTGTCACTTTGTTGACAGAGCTGGTTGAAAGCCATTTTCTTCCTTTGCTTTTTGGGGTTTATTAAAATTGCTGATGTGATTTTTCTGTTTTTTTATGTTGTTTGTTCACTTTGTTTACCCGTGCCGCCCAGTGCCGCCTATACTCCTTTCATGAATAAAAAAATCCTATTAAAACATCCCACATATTTTTTTCGTTCCAGTGCACAAATCCAGCAAAACTAAATGAAATTGGCAATTCAAAGTAAGAGCGAAATTAAAACAGGACTCCCCACTGCGTGATTACAGGGTACGGACTGCAGTTATACTACAATACCATAATGTAATAATAGTCTAAAACCTATAATTAGAATATAATAATTTCTGTTCAGTTAAAAAATGCTAATTTCAAAATGATGAACCTCTACAGGGTTCTCCACCGTCTTCTCTCTATATGTACCAACCAAGTCTTCTACAATGACAGTACAATAATACAAAATTAACAGGGATGTAACAATCACCAAAATATTGTGGTTTTGTATCGTCAAAAGTCTCACAATAATATCGTGGGCTGTCACAATAGATCGAATCACAAGTTGTTTTGCTTAAATACATGGTTTTATAGTAGTAACAGCTTATAAACATAGGGAACTACATATCCCATGATTCATTTCAATGCACACAACATGAAGATATATGTTTTTTACTTGAATTCTTGGCATTATGACAGTAATAATTCACACCAAAATCTTGTCAAGTTATTTTAAAAGCAGAAATGTGTCTTATGTATATTTATATTTGCCACTAAAATATTGCAATAAATATTGTACCATGAGATGCAAAAATTAACATTTATGCTAAATCTTTTATAATGCTTTACTCTTTTACTGCACACACCACATTTATGCATAGAGGGAGAAGCGTCTTGCCCAATGACACAACAGCAGCATTCAATGGTCAAAGTGGAATTTGAAAAGCCATATTCAACTGTACTACATTTTCTAGTGGAGGTTTCTTTACCTTGTCTCCATGAAAATGTTATTGCTTTGCCTTGAATGTTCCACAGTAACAGAGGCGGCACTACCTTTAGGCAAAAGTGGGCAGCTGTTCAGGGCCCCAAACCTGGAGGGGCTCCCAACCAATTGCACCCAGAGTCAATAATGACCGAGGCCTCAGAGCAATTTAATTTTCTCTCAATATGACATTAAAGGACAGTAGTTTACTTTTAAATAATAATCATACGAAAAAAGAAAAAAAAATCATATATAAGAGATGTAAACAAAAATGTAATAATGATAAGAAAAATAAATAAAAAGTAATAATAGTAAGACAAGTTTCCAGTCCACCATAATTCAAATAAATAGAGATATGCATGTCTCAAGAACAATGGAGAAAAACAGACATAAATATATTTAAAAAAATAAATAAATAAATGGTGCATTATAGTGAGGGCCCCAAACTCAAGTTCTCCTAGGGCCCCCAAATTGCAAACTCCACCACTGCACAATAAGGCATTAAATATATACAGTTGGTTTTGTTCATTAGTTTAAAAAAATACCTTGAAAAACCTGCATTCTTACTGTGAGAGAGATCGCCCTATCCACCAATCTGACCAGTAAGCATCACCTGTCTGTTCATTTCATTCATTTAGATCGACTTAATGCCACGTTACAGAACATTTCAGGCACAGCAATAAAATTACGCAGTGCTCCTTTAAAGACCTTGGCATGCTTCACTAGCTAAAAGAAGTGATATGTTTCTTCTTTCTTTGCACTCACCATAGAGAAGTTCATGACCTTGAGGATCCACACGGTGAGCGCCAGGTTGACGATCATAGTGACGAGGAGGAGGAGCAGGAAGAAGTAGAGCCCCCTCTTCCTCCAGCCGTACACCACGCCCGGACCGCCCCCCTCGCAACCGTTCCCCTCACAGCCAGGCCGGGGCAGGTGGAGAGACTGCGATGCCAGGATGTAGTGCTCTTGGGTAATCTGCAAAGCAAACACACCTCTGTCAGTCGGATATTACCTCCTGAATGCCACCGAAAAGTCTCCAGGCTGAAGCACGGAGCGAAGAGAGAGGAGGCTAAATATAGGTAGAACTGGGCAAAATATACTCAAATCATAATTGTTTTCCTTATTTTTTCTTATTATAAACTAAAACACTGCTTCAGTATTAATTTCCTGAATATAAAAAAAAATATATTTTAAATAATTGACATTTAAAATATAAACAATAGACAACATTCTTCCTTCTAAGTCTGAAATCTGCTCCAAACCGCAAACTTTCACTGACATTAAAAAGACTCAAGCTGATTATTGGCAATTAGAAATGACAGAATCTTGATCTCAGTTCAAATTCAGTCAAAACGAGTATCAAAACTGAAAAGAAATCACGTAAATAGGCCATTTCCCGAATAGTTTGAGAATAATCTTGTACTGATCAGAACGAAAGGCCATGTGGTAATATTCAAGAAACAAAAAACAATAAACAGAATAATTTCATTTTGTTATAGATCAAGCCGTTTCCACAGTTTTTAAATAAATTTTGTAAGTGGATCTATTTGCCACAACAAAAGACTAAGGCTGTGTTCATAAATACACAAATCAACTCATCAGCTTTAGTTGGTATACAAAGATTACGTGTATATATGTATGTATACGCACCTTTTCTCCCTGGCATTTGCCTAGAGTTAGGAAGAGACGCCTTTGCACCTTGCTGTTATTATTATTATTATTTTTATTATTATTCTGGTTGATTTGTCTATTGTATGTTTTATTTTACTGTTTAGTACTTTGGAAAGCTTTGGCTGTTTTAAATGTGCTATACAAATAATTTTGACTGGATTTGATTGGATATGTATACGTTTATCTTCAACACACAGGTATAAATGAGAGCTAGAGTTGCTATGAAGAGGCTATTGCTTAAATTTTACTTCTGTAGGCTAACACATAAACTATTTATATTGTCATGTTACCTTATATTGTATAGAAAAAGCTATTTTAGTCGAAAACAGCGTATTAACATGTTTTATAATTTTCACTTTTGTTTTTGATGAGGTCTGAATCTCTCCTCCCTCACTCCCCCTTCAGAGCGCTGTCACAACAATCAGTGTGCGCCCCACTAATGAAACTACTGCACATCACATCAGATTTGTCAAGTTCTTCTGTACAGCCTTATTATGCTTTTGTATATTTATGAAGAACTGAACAATGGACAAAATTTTACAGCTAACCATAAGAAGGGTCCGAAGTGGGTTTGGGAGAAATCGCTAGATTACGCAAACGTGCATGGATGACATCTTAAACCTCTTCAGCTATATTTTTGTTGAAGGAACATTATAACATGAGGTGATTTTGTAGACACCACACTACACAAGACTGAGACCTGCTGCAGATCCAGGACTAGAACTGGAACAAACCACCTATGTTCATATGTTATGGTCATGTCCATCTCTGTTGAACTTCTGGACTGATGTATTTAATATTATGTCACAAATCGTCTCTTTTGTAATTCCTGCTCTGTTTGGTTTTATACTTGAACCCTGTATGCCAAAGTATCATAAAAATGTCATTGCATTTATTACACTCATTGCTTGGCGTTTAGAAACATTCTGTATTTTGTCAACATGGAAAACTTTCAAGAATTCGTGGGTTCAATTTTTTCAGTTTGTTGAGTCTGTTAATTTCCCCTTTGGTCCAGAATGATGTTTTTCACTCTTGTCTTTGATTGATTCCTATCTCACTCTCTCTTTTCAATCTGGTACGTGTTTATTCTGAGTAGGTGACCCGGTAGTTGTTTTGTTTTTTGAGTGTGTGTGTTTTACTCTAGCCTGATTCATCAGACAGTTTCACTTCACAGAAACCTTCTGACCTCGCAGCATTAGAATTCATTTGCTCAACAGTAGGCGGGTACTTTTTTCATTTAACCAATCGCTGCTATTTGGTCGTGACATATGTAATGCACTGCTAACGGGGCTTAACTGGTATATTAAGATTTTCCCAAGTCCCGTAGGAAGAAGGGCAATAACGTCTTTCCCCTTGATAAAATTCACCAAACATTCTCTTTGTGCCAGCTATAAATCCTCAATCTTGGGAATCATTGCCAATACAGAATATATGGTTCTTCTCTGATTGACTGGTGCCCAAACTCGTACTTCCGGGGTTTTTGCGAACCGTCTAGTGTATTCCAATTCCTAATGAAGTTGCTGGAGAGAAATGAAATTGAATGAAGGCAGCCTGGCTAGTTTTACTCAGCTTTTTGTCACTACTATTTAATAACAATTTCAAAATATCAGCATTGTCAGGATAAAATATTTAAATAAAGTTTGGGAAAAAAAAGAATTGGAAAAAAACCAAATCTACAGTTGTACAAGCTTCCAAAATGCATTGTTCAAGTAAATTTACAGCGATTATAGTAATATCTTAACCACACACAGGTACAAATAAGGTCTTGAGTTGGCGCTTTCATAGTTTGCTTTCATGATTCCATATCTGGCTCCGTGGTGAACAGAAGCCGGAGCAGAGTAATCCATCACACAGCGTGTTTAAAGACAAGGGCGTTTGGGTGATGTTATTTTATTAAGTGAGAGATATCACCGCACCCACTAAACAAAAGGTGGTATGTTTCATTTCGCTGTAGAGACTGCCTCATCACTCAAGATCCAGATTCAACCAGGGATCAAGATTACCCTCTGATTACTATATTGAAACCAGGTATAGGTAACACTGTATAATAACTGCACTTTAATTAGCCTCAATAATGAACTAAGGCTTAATTAATTTGTATCTGTCTGCTCACATTTACTGCTACAATACACTTCAATAATCAGGACTAGTTATCGTTATATGGACTATGGAGCTCAACAATTGAACTGAATTGAATTTTTCCAAAAGTCTAAACAAAAAATAATGGAAAATGTACTCTCGAACTAAAGTGAGCAGGGGTGTAGTGGGCGTGGTACACGGGGGTACACCGTCTACCTACTTCTCCCAATGTGAGATATAAAAAAATAACAAATATAAAATAGCTACAACTTAAATGTCAAACCGGAACAATTGGCAACGTTGAAAACAACCTGCAAAGGATCATGATATCTGCAATCTGTCCTATAGTGACCTGAGACAAGAGAGGACCAGGACTGAACCAGGACTGAACCTGGAGAACTAAACCAGAACTGAACTAGGACTAAAGCAGGACTAAAATAGGACTAAACCAGGACTAAACCAGAACTGGATCAGGACTGAGTGTCGTTACGGTCCCAGAGGTGCACCCGTGTAGACTCTCGGGTGACCGTGGGCGAAAGCACTCTCCTCTGCGGGTTTGGGGTTCTCCCTCTCACTGTCAAATCGAAGATTAGTTCTGGTTTAGTCCTGGTTTAGACCTAGTTATACCTGGTTTAGACCTGGTTTAGGCCTGGTTTAAATCTGGTTTAGTCTTAGTTTAGTCCTGGTTTAGTCCTGGTTCAATCCTGGTTTAGACCTGGTTCAGTCTTGGTTCAGTCCTGTTTCAGTCCTGGTTTAGTCCTTCTGGTTCAGTCCTGGTTCACTCCTGGTTTAGTCCTGATTTAATCTTGGTTCAGTCCTGGTTTAGTCCTAGTTCAGTCCTGGTTTAGTCCTTCTGGTTCAGTCCTGGTTCAGTCTTGGTTCAGTCCTGGTTTAGTCCTCCTGGTTCAGTCCTGGTTTAGTCCTGGTTTAATCTTGGTTCAGTCCTGGTTTAGTCCTGGTTTAGACCTGGTTCAGTCTAGGTTTAGACCTGGTTTAGTCTCGGTTTAGTCCTGGTTTAGTCCCGTTTTAGTTCTGGTTCATGTGTTGTAGCATATGATTTATGTTCTGTAGGTGATTATGAATGTCGTTCACCTTTATGATTGTTCATGACGTCACGAATCGCGTACCCCCACTTAAAAAATCTCCACTACACCACTAAAAGCGAGCAGTCAGTGTTGAGCTCAATACAGATTCTAAAACACATGCTAAAAGAGGATTTACAGAGAGCAATATTATTACATTCAAGTAAATACACATACACTTTATCTGTAGATATTATCTCTATGTATTTTTTACCTTAATCTTATATCTTGTTTTCAAAAAATCTATATGAACAAAAGAGACATTGCAGACTAATGGAAAAATAATTGCTGTCCAGTCATCTATAAAAATAACTCGGATGATTTATAAAGCTGGTTACACGTTATGAAAAAGAATTTAAGGATTCCACTGTTGTTTGGTCCTGAAGTCAATAACAGTGAATAATTGTACAATATTGATTTTTCTTCTTACTATAATCGTCCTCTAAAATATAATACTGTGATCCTACTTCTTACTCATCCCTATGAAGACACAACAGTAAGTGCCTCCTGAACACATATTTACTTTCCATTATAACCGGCAGCTTTGTTTATTCTCTGCCTCGAGCCTTGACATTTGTGTGTGTACCTTTGTATAAAATGATTTGTTGAGTTTTAATCACAGGGCACAGCTGTTTTCACTGTTAATTACTTGTTGACATTTTGCACCCTGAATTCTTATACAGTGACAGACTGAGTGACAGCTTCCTGTTTACGGCTCCCCTCCAGCGCCCAGCTCTAAAATACTTACGCCTATCAACCTTCACAATGCAATCAACACACATACATTCAGCTCTTACACTTTCCACTGATACTTGAAGAGACATCATGCTGGGGGTGTTCTACATGTACAGTATTTCTTCAGTTACCATGGTGACACAATGCGCACATTAGCAAACACGGTCAAAAAAAGATTTAAAACTGTCTGAAAACTCAAAATACAAAATGGACTCAAACAACAGGTTTTCAGGAGCCTGTGATTATTGTTACGAGTGTTCACTGTCCTGTTTTGATGTTTTGTCAACAAAAAAGGTGAGACTGCCTGACAAAATGTTGGATAATGTTAGGCTATGTTCAGACTGCAGGGCTTAATGCTCAATTCGGATTTTTTTGTGAAATCCGATGTTTTTCCGAAGTTGTTCACATTTACACTTAAATGTGAATTGTATGTGATCTCAAGTGTGAACTTTAAATGTCCCAAAAGTGTCTCACATGTGCACTGCAGAACACGACAACATCACGTTTACAGAAGTAGACTAAATGCTGGGCTTGTCTCCCAAAATATGGTCCAATTCTTCGTAAACTAGACAGGTTACACGTCCAAGGCACTTTGGTTTTTTGAGTCTTTATCCTCCTTGTATTTGGCTCGCAGGGTCTTTATTTTTCGTTGACACTGGAGCCATGACCACCTGTAGTCACGCTTGGCCATTTCTTTGGCAATCATTTAAAAAAAACGCCTGGTTCCGATAAGACCCCTCCAATTTGGCCTGAATACAGCGATCCCCCCAAATATTAATATACTCGCTAACCTCGCTTTCCTTCCATTGACTAGACTCCGAGCCTGACGTGTAGGTGGGATGAATGCGACCTGGCCGTTCAGACTGAAGTCGCATG